TACACACACACACACACACACTATATCTATACTATATATATATATATATATATATATATATATATATATATATATATACAGGCTGAGACAAATGCTTTCAATTACTTTAAGTTCACATGAAGTCTTAGCTATTTGTTCTAAAAACATTCTGAGAAGAAATGATCATCTCAATAGAAAATGGTGAGAGCATAGTATCATCAAATTTGCAATCATCCTTCTAAAGCATTATATGAGGTATATGGAGCCTGCAAATGCATGCTGCAATGGTCATAGAGATTACCTAGAGGATGTCAAAAAAGCTTCTATAAGCTTTGGATGCCTGAATCATGAGTAACTACAGGAGAGAAGTTAGCATTTTGAGCTACTTGCTTAGACAACATCAGAAATATGTTATTTATGTTGCTTAGAAGCTCACAATCTGATTATATATTAATACAATTTTAAATATATATTATATACATATCATTTTAATTGTAAGTATTATTAATATATATATGTATATAATGATTTCTTATAGAAAGATAACAATGACATGAAATCCCATTGACGATAATTTTATCCTATTAAATTATTAAATCCTATCTCAATTAAATCTATCAATATTTTAAAAATATTTAAAAAATTTCGACATACACACTAATAAATTTAGATATGCTATAATTTTTAATCATAAATTAATTAATTAAATAAGAAATAATAATAGTAATAATAATAAAGAGACGACAAAAGACATGTGTAAACCCATCGCGCCGTACCTCTCGTGACGACCTTTTCTCAGACAAAGATAACTAAAAAAAGATTTCAACAAATAACAAGAAAAGAATGTGAAATTACAACATAAATCTCGACAAAGCACGAAGCAAGACGACAACGGCAACATCGTCTCTTCCGCCTCCTCGCAACCGCATGTCTTCTACGGCAGCAGCGACATCATCTCCTCCTCCCAAAGGCAGCATGTCTTCTACAGGTCCCTAATCTCTCTCTCTCTCTCTCTCTCTCTCTCTCTCTCTCGTCGATCCCTTTGTATCTTCCCTCAGAAAACGAGGGTTTTGACCAATAGATTTGGTTCTCGGATTGATCGCGTGACCAATCTCGCCTTTGAAAAGAGAGATGAGGGGATTAGGGTTGCATAGTTGCCAAATAATGGAATCAATCGTGTTGGTGGTGATCTGATATCTGATTGCTTTCGTTCTTTGAACGAATTTTGTTTGGTTGGCATAATATGTTGGCTAATTATTTCTCTAGTTAGTTATTTTTATTATTTTATATTTTTAAAACTTATATTTGTATTCTTATATTTATAAAATTAAAATATTTAAAAGATAATTTTATAAAATTTAAAATAAAAATTTTAGAGATCAGAATGTTAAGAAGAGTAACTAATTACAGATAAATTATTTTCTAAAAATTAATTTTTATTTTTTTGAAAAGTAATTTTTAATTTTTTTTAAAAAAGTAAAAAAATAAAATTAAAAATTTATTTTTTAATTAAAATTGGCTATAAAAATTAAATTATTTTTAATTATTCATATTAGCTATTCCGATTCCAATTTTACACCCAACGCTTTGCAAAGTTCGATTTCGATTCTCAAAATTTATAGACTGAAATCATAAGTCGAAATCATCGATTCCGAAACCGAGATTATGTTTGGAATTAGGAGTTAGGGGTCATTTTTTAGTTTCTCACCGAGTAACATTCTGCTACTAGTAACAAAAACAACTTGGAATGAAACAAACAACAATTCTTTGTACTTGAAAGCAACCTCGCTGTGTCTCTGTCGAGAACAACCCCTTGCTTGGATTCAATAGCTAGTGCAAGTTGCGGCTTCGCTGCACCAGTGCATTACGATCAAGACCTCACTTGGTCCTCCTTGCATGAGACGATCCGTTGTTCTTCTTGTTCTTCCCTGCCGCAGGAGAAGGGAGACGCTTCTTCCCCGACCCGACAGACCCCTTCTGAGAACCTTCAGCGACGTCGCTTTGCGGGCTGTGGAACCGAGACCTGGCTTTCGTCGACGCCGTCGACGGGGTGTAGCTCGCAACAGACAGCGCGCTCGACAGGCTGCTGTCGTCGCTCACCGATGACCTCGTGACCCGGTGCCTGCTCCTGATACTCGACCCGTCGTCCGCGGACCACGCGCCGGTTCCCGGGCTCACCGGTGTCTTCTTGCTCGCCACCGACGCCAGCTTGGAGCGTGGCGTCACGGGCGACTCGTTTCTGGGACTCGGCTTACTCTTGCTTGGGTTCACTGATGCCTTTGATGCCGGGTTAGAGCGCGGGGTTACCGGCGCCTGGCTTGGTCTTTGAGCTGCCGACAGGATCCTCTTCGGCTTCACAGCGTCGTGGCCGTGCTTCTCCTGCGGCCCTGCCGCCGTCAATCGCTCCGACAAGCTCCAACCCCATTGCAGATTGTTCACGTCGATAAACATCGGAGTCGGGGATTTGGAAGAGCTCTTTCCCTGTCACGGACCCGACGCATCACATCAAAAGATGAGCACCGCACCCCAGATGAAATCGAATGCGCAGTAGTAGTACCTGGCGGGCAAATGCGTAGGCTAATGCCCTCTCTCTTCTCGTGGCAGCCTCCTGCCTGTCGAGTAGCTTTGCCTCGATTTGCTCTTTGGATCGAGGACTATCATTCCACTCTCCGATCTGTGCACCAAAATCCAGCAGGTGAGCAACACGAATGCAGAAGAGGAAGCCACAGAGTTGATGAAAACGATAGTGCATGGGTTTAACCTTCGCTTTCTGCTGCTCTCTTTCTTGTTTGAGTTGCAGCTGCCGCAGCAGAGCCTGGTGGTCCTCGGCCATCCTCATCCTCCTGGAACGTACCTGTGCCTGAACCACCGCCATGGCTTGCAACCGGCGCACCATGTTTGCGGTCTGAGACCCGACGGCGCTTCCATCGATTAAGTTCTTTAGCCTGATCAGTCTTTTCAGAGTTCCCATTGCTCTCCTCGCCTTGACACAATGTGCAACAAAAGAGATGAAGACGACGAACTCTCGAGCCAAGAGACACAAGAACACATACCAGGAATCCTCGGAAAGCAGCCTGGATCTTGGTGGCAGCGGTCGCCTCACTTATTGTCGACCGACCGACCTCCGTTGCAGCCCGAGATGAACGCTTGGACTTACCATAGTCTCGACAGCAGCTGGGGATCAACGCTTTCTTGAGGGCAGAAGTCCACTTCCTCCTCCCCTCCATGTTCTTGCTTTCTCCTCCTCTCGGTCTACTATATCCTTTTGTTAGGTGACTCTTGTCCGCAAACCTTCATGCACGAACAGCAATATATCAAATCCTGTGAGAGCATATATATCATATTTGAATTAGATTTCAGCTCCGGGAAAGAGAAGAACGAATCACAGCGGAAGTATCAAGGATGGTGAAGTGAGAGGAGGGGCGACGGCAGCAGAAGATCAAATTGCGAGCAGAGGAACGAGAGAAGCTTTCCAGAATCCAGAGCCATCACCTGGTGCGCGGCGGCGAAGCAGCGGGAGTCCGGTGCTTGTTCCTGGACGAATGGCGGGGTGCCGGGGGGGGTGGGGTGCGGATCGCGTCCTTATTGAAGCCGCAGCAGCTTCCCCCTCTCCCTCCCTCCCTCCACCGCTCCTCTTCCTCCTTCGAGCTGTCACTTGTTCTCCGTTTTAAGGATCCTCTCTCTGTGCGTATCTAAACTAAGGTGTCGCCCGTGTTTAGGCCTCCTTTGTTGAGGCGGTCGTTCACGTCGGGGCGATGGTTGTCGTCGCCACGATGGCTTCTGGTGTATGATACGAGTATATGCTCGTTGACTGCTTCTGCTGGGGATCGAACGGACCGAGTGGAGTTCGCTGTCTTCCCTCCGACAGCGTTCTGCGTTCTCGTCACCACCCGACCCGCCTCATTCATTAGCTGACGTCAAGATATCCCTCGTGACGTCATCCGATTTGGCCCGGTCGGATCGGAGCACCCCCAACAGCGAACCGGGTTCATGCTGACGACATTGCACCATCATGTGGTTATCATTGACCAAGAAGGGAAACATAGGATTAAAGATCTGGAGATCTTGAAATCACCTGTATAAATTCATTTTTCTCAACAAATATGAGATCGTGAATGTTCATTTTAATCGAGGAACATTTATTTTTTTGCAGCAGCAGATTCTGTCTTCAGAATACTCTCATAGCTAACCAACAAGATCAAGTCAACAGCTGATTTGCCATCTGGTGAATGCCACTTATCATGCTTTTGTTGGAGTTTGATCTCTGCATGCAGTAGCAATCAAACAATTAAATTGTATAAAGGAGTTTCCAGGAAGAAAGAGGACAGCTCTATTGTTGCATATTATTATACACTGGGAATAGAATCATTATGCAATCTGGCACATATAAGGGTGATATATAGTTAAATTGCCTCTAATTCAAACATAAGTTCAAAATTTCCATTTCATATATATTTGTTGTAACTCATGCAGAAGTCATGACTGGCCACCAGTAAAACCACCTATTTACCAAGTATAAGCAAATGATAAGATATTTCAGAATTTTCTTCCAATGATAGAGAAATTTAGAAGCAACATGAATGCAGTTTTTGTAAGGAAGAAAAACTGACATATTTGATAACAGTGTCACTGGAGCTACAAGAATTGAAGTATATCATATTAGAAGTGACGAAAAGTACATTTATGTACTTAATTTAATCATTAACAATAGAAAAATTTTGGACAAATCATTTGGTCCAGTTTAAGGGAAAAAAGAACATTTATGGCCTTCTTGATGACAACTACTACTGTCTCAGAATCTGAATCCTTGTTGAATAACCAGGACCTTTTTCCGATTCAAGTTTAATCTGTTACTATCACGCAGCTCGATTTGCCGACTATGCCTCAAACAAAGAACCAAGAGACTTCCTTCAATTTTATTTATAAGAAATAACAGTACATTAAAGTCCACAAATATATTACGGATATGGCTAATTTCTTCTACAACTGACATAAAAGTAAGTTGTTGTCATCAATATGGAACTCACAATGATTTTATGGTATAAATAAGCCATGTCTGGGGAACCATACCTTGGCTATCGGAGGCATGCCAACATAAGAATTTGCCTGGTTTCAAATATGGAGGTAACTGAATACAATATTATCTCCGTTTTATTTCAAATGTCGTTTTGCTCACAAATACAAGCATAAAGCAGGACTCAGACTTAAGATACTGCACATACGGCACTTCTGCCAACTGATATATGCTCAGAAATAACTGAATCACATATTTAGAAAGGTCATTGTGTTTGACTATGGTGATCCGCCTATGTAAGTATGAGTCCAATTCTCCTGCATCTAGATGGCTGGGTCGCTATCTCAATTTTCTTCTCACTTGCAAATGTTTGTACCACAGCCAGGCTGTTCATATTAGGAACCCATTTGAAACATGCAGGTCCTGCCCATGATGCATTTTCCTTTGAGATATTGGAACCCAGAACCAGCTTTCAATATGATCAGCATTCTCCGATGGAGGTATCACAACTGTGGAAAAGCAGGACCTTAAGCAAACTAGATAGCTCCATGTTCATCTACATCAACAGGCTCAAGCCTCCACTCGCTGCCATAGTATGAGTTCGGAAGTCCAAGCCAGAACTTAAATGCCTCAGCCGCTCTCTTCCTCTCCTTCCTCCTGTCCTGTCTCGCCTGGGAGGCATGCTTGCTTGTAAACATCCGCGAATGCATCTCCACATAGATCCTCTTGTACTTCGTCTTGTTCGGCGAAATTCCATTCTCCTCCATGCAAGCCACAATCTCTAGCGCCTTTCTGAAGAATGCCGCCCTCACACACACATCAGCTAGAGCATCAAGCAATCCTTCATCAGGCCGAAGAGGTGGCGATGCAGCACACCTTTCTTTAACCTCGTTCCACAACAGAAGTGCCTCCCCTGGCTTCCTGGCCAATGCTATCCCATTGGCAAGGCTTCCATAGGTCGCGACGTCAGGCTGGAATCCATTCTGCTTCATCTTCTCCACAATTTTCTTAGCTTCTTCTATCAAACCCAATCTGCAGTACCCTTCAATCAGCATGTTGTAGGCTACCCTATCTACCTTAACCCTTGGGTCCTTCTCCATCTCATCAAACACCTTATGAGCCAGCTTCGGTTGGCCTGACAAAGCAAACGCCTTCATCAGAGTGGTGTAGCTGACCTTGGACGGTGTGATTCCACGCTCACGCATCTCGTTGAAGTAGGCCAGCGCTCCAGCGCTGTCATCAACAAGTATGCACCCATCGATCAAGATGTTATACGAGACAACATTGGGCTCTATACCTGCATGCTTGGACATATCACGAACAAGCTCCTTTGCCTCGTCTAGCTGGAGCTGCTGGCAGTAGCCTTTGAGAAGGACATTGTAGGTGACTCGGTTGGCTGGAACACCAGCATTGCCCATATCTGCGAGGACGCTGCGAGCTCGGTCCATTGCCCCAACTTTGATGAGCGCGGAGATGACAGTAGTGTATGTCACATGGTCTGGGTGGCTGGCAGGATCTGCTTCCAGCTGCATTGCTCGGGTCATGCGGATTACATCCTCCACTCGGCCTTCTTTCACGTATCCCTTCATCAAAGTAGTGTACATTCTGGAATCAGGGAAATAAGCCTTAGGCAGCAGCGGTGGCTCATTGCCATTACCATGGCACTCGGTTAAATGGCGATACATTACTAGCTTTTCTAGAAGTGCATGAGCTTCCTCATCAATTCGATCGATCGAAGTGCCGTCATTTGATTGCCTGAGTATCAAGCAAAGGTCCTGTCGGCCTTCCCGCATTGCCTGTACTAATTTCTCAGCTGTCACCAGATCATCGAGACCTACATAGGCCGCCACAAGGGAGTGCAAGGTCGTGATGCAAGGGACGAGTCCTGATGTGATGAGTCGCTCGAGAACGAAGATCAGAAGGTCCTTGCGCTCCGCCCTCGCGCACATCTTGATCAGGACATTGTGGGTCAAGACATCAGGCTCGACGCCGAACTCCGGCATTTCGTCGAACAGCTGCGCGAACCTGCGAACGTCCCCCAGGTTGGCGCAGGCGTTGAGGGCGGCGTTGAACGCCGCGACGTCGGGGCGGGCATCGGTGGAGACGGCGACGCGACGCACGCGGCGGAGGACGGAGTCAAAGAGGCGGAGGGCCTCGCCGGGGCCGCCGTCGTCGGGGGAAGCGGAGAGACGGCTGACGACGGCGCTCCAGGCCTTGACGTGGGGGAGGTACCCGGAGCGGAGCATGGTGCGGAGGACAGCGAGGGCGTAGGAGGTGGCGCCGGACCTGGCGGTGGCAACGGCCAGGAGGCCGAGGGAGTTGGCGTCGAGGCGGTGGAGCTGGCCCTCGTCGCGGAGGCGGCGGACAAGGGCGCGGGCGCGGGCGAGGGCGGTGGGGGTGCGCTGGTAGGAGAGCTGGGCGAGAAGGCGGCTGAGGCAGGTGGGTCCGGGAAGGAGGGGGCTGCGGGCGTAGGCCTGGTAGGCCTCGTCGGTCCGCCGCTGGCGGAGGAGGGAGAGCAGAGCGGCGTCGTGGGCGCAGCTCCCGTCCACGGGCAGCGAGGAGGGGAAGGAGTTGGAGGCGAGGTGGGCTCGGAGCTTGGGAGAAGCAAGGGGGATGGGGTTGAAGGGTTTAGGGGATGGGTGGAATTGAAGGTGGGGAGGGATGGGGGCGGACATGGGCGTGGCCGCCTGTTGCAACATCATGATTGCTGTTGTTGTTTGACTTGCAGGTCAGTTTAGGGAGAGAGAGAGAGGCAAGGGAGAGACGAAGAAGAAGAAGAAGAAGAAGAAGAAGAAGAAGGGCGTGTGGAGGAAGGGAGGCGTGCGCGAGGATAATGGAAACGGGGGAGAGCTCACCGTCGGATGCGATGGCAAAGGTGGGGTGTGTTGGTCGCGTGGGTGGCCGCGGGGTCGACTACGTTGAGGCGATGGGGTCCTCTTTCTTGCGCTTGGTGGGCACTACTTACCATATCTGGAAATAATAAAAAATAAAATAAAATAAAATATGATAAAAGATGACAAAACCAAAATACTAAAACTAAAAATATTTTTTGAAAAATATAAATATAATTAAAAATTGAATATTTAAAATGCTTCTAAAAGGTGTCTATATTAAAACCTAAAACCTAAATCTAATGTTAATGTTGATGCTAATTGTCAATTGGATTACACCATGAATTATGGTGAGTTTGAGATCATATTTGAAGAATTTATCTCCATCCTCCCCTACTATAAGAGAAGATGATTTTTAAAAATAATAACATATCATTGAACAAATTCCTTTAAACCTATATGATGGAAAGGAATATTCTTTATTTTAATATGATTTGATTGTAATGAAGAGTAATTTTTATAACCAGAAGTAGATAATTAAACTCTTAATAAGAAAATAATAACATGGTTAATACTTTAGCGATTACATGGTTGATGCCTCGAAGTTACTTGGTTGTCAACTTGACATTACATAACTGACCTCGCGATATTTGTATTCGCCACCTTGGCATTACATGGTCGATACATTGATGCTATTTGACCGAGATTTATGTATTATGTGGTTAACACCTAAATGTTACGTGGTTGACACCTCGTTGTCGCTTGGTTGACACATTGATGTAGCATCCTCGATATTTCAAGATTGATATGGTATCATCCCATATACGTATCAATCACATCATGATTGTCGTACATCCCACGAATTCAGTATAACATGGCTCTACCAAAACCCTAAAGCCTAAATACTCACAAATCTAAAAATATTCTAAATCTAGGGTTTAGAGATTTCAACGATTACGTAACCAAATCCGATCATGAAGCATCATTCAATGATGACACAATCAAATCTAATCATGAAACATCTTAGATCACTTGAGATAGAGAACTCTAGTTTGGTCACTCGAAGAGAAAAGAAAACTATTTAATGAATTGGTAATTCAATTTACATCGATTGAGTAATTCATTAAATATTCAGAAAAAAAAATTTAGAACAGAAGATGAGGAACCGATCGATGTGAACATTCCGACGATTCATTTCTCGGGACTTCGAGCATTGTCTGATCGAGCTTTCTAATTTGTCATTCGGGATGTTATATGAAAACTTCTTGTGTGAATTTGTGGCTTTGAGATAGCTATATAGCAACGATTGGTAAGTTGGTTTTGTATGTTCATGCACACTCTTGAGATGATCTTTCTTATGTGTGCTTTGGTGTTCAACATTTAAGGAGCTTCTAATTGATTGCCACCGACAACTTCAACTCCAAAAATATTCTTATAAAAATAGGGTATGGAATTGTTTACAAAGGTTGCTCGTGTGATTGACATCATAATGGCTGGTAAAGGTTTATGAGACCATAACGCCACTAAGGCATTCAATTTCAGACTTAGGTTGAAATAATAAGCTTGGGATAATATTTTCGTCTTAAGGATCATTAGGGATTATATGGTTGAGATTTGATAAGGAATATTCTGAAAACTAATCTCATTCTATTATTTGGTGGCCACGAAAGCATTTGACGTGGACGACGAGGGCCGAGTCACCCCCACAGGCAATGACAATGAAGGTTAAGGTTATTGGGGCTGGCCCTCTCGGTCTCTGTGGACAACCGTAGACTACTGTATTACATTTCTATATATTAATATTATTATATGCTAATATACACTAATACACTATAGTATCTATGTTATGTTTTTATATACTAATATTATATTTCTATATACACTATAGTATTACACAATATGTATTACATCACAATATATTCATCATCCAATATAAAGTGAGAAAAATATAATAATAATAATAATAATAATAATAATAATAAAATAGATTGTGTAATGTGTCACATGTGTCCATCACTTACGTGATTGACTTGCAAGACATCTATAACTAACAATATACACTAATAAACTATAGTGTCTATATTATAATATATTGTAATATATATACTATATGTATTACGTTTCTATATACTAATATTGGATTTCTATATACATTGCCATATAGTTAATGTAATAGTTATAACTATAGTTTAAATTATATTTATAACTATTAGTTTATATAGTTACATTAACATACAACTATTACTATGCATATAATTATGTATATATAGTTAATATAGTTATATGGTATAACTATACAATATATTATATTATAATGCATCTTGATACATTATACATTACATGAACTGTAAGTTACAATTCATGTAATGCATATGTTCCACATACATTATAATGTATAGTTATATGTCACATTGATATACTATACCATATCGGTAATTATAGGATAATATAGTATATTCTAACTATAGATCATATTGATGGATGAAGCTATAGTGTCCTATAGTAAATACTATGGTATGTAGTATACGCAGTATACATTTTTGGCACTAAGAACTATACTCATTGAACAACTCCAAGTGTCATAGTTATCACCATTCAATGACATGCTAACCAAGACTATCCTTGGTTATAGTATACTAGTATAGTGGTGCTATACTACACTATATAGTATATATACTATAGTATAGTGGTGCTATAGATCACATTGCTTCATCCCCTAGTCTGTTGCTTAAACCAAATATCAATTGGTTCCATCAAGCTTGGTCATCAACTTATTCTTTCAGATGTTTTTTTTTATGTGCCCTCATTTTATGTTAATTTATTATCAGTCAACAAGATGACTAGATCATTGAATTGTTCAATCATCTTTCTTTCTTTTTTTTTCCCTTGATTTTTACCTCTTTGGCAACGAAGAAGATGATTGGTTTGGAGAAGTATAGCATAGTGGTATCTACTACTTTACTTTTTTTTACCAAGTACATCACCTCCAATGATACCACCTATCTCAAAAACCAACAATACATCTGATCTATGGTATAGATGTCTTGGTTTACTCTAATAAAATTTGGTTTACTCTAATAAAATTTGGTTTACTCTAATAAAGTTCATGATATTTGTCCGTTGGCTAAACAAACTAGACTTCCTTTTAGTCTAAGTTCATGATATTTCTACTACTGAACCATTTGAATTACTTCACCGTCATCGTTAAGGGGGGCTTTTCAAGTTCCTTCTCATTAGAATGCTTTTTTTTTTTTTCTTTTACTATTGTGGATTATTTTTCTAGGAATGCATGGATATATCTCATGCATTTAAGTTTGAAACATAAATCCTTTTGAAATCTTTTTTTTTTTTTTTGTCTTTGTTGAAAACTAATTCAGTTGAAAGGTTAGAAGAATTCGGATTGATGATGAGTACATGCAAATTATTTTTAATAATTATAATTTTTTTATCAGTCTCTTCATCCTTAATAAAATAGAGTTTGTACAACGTAGATATCATAATATCTTAAATGGAGTCCTAGTCGTCGAATCTTTTGATAGGGGGAGAGTTTACTAGCATCTACTTACCTTATTGACCTTTTACGTATATCCTTTTTATCTAAGAAGGCATTATTTGATGTCCTTCGTAATCAATCATATACTTATGACTATTGACATATATTTGATTATTTATGTTATATCACAAATGTTCAATTTAAAAATAAATTTAATCAACATGTTTGAAAATATATTTTTATTGGATATCCCTCGAGTCAAAAAGTTAATAAAATCTATGATTTGAAGACTAAACAAATATTCACAAGTTGAAATAGTTATATACATATTTTCTTTCTTAATTGTGAAACCAAATGATAGTAACCCCTCACAAGTTTTACTATTACCATGACCAATTTGTTACTTTTGACTTATAAACCCATGATGTTTAAATCAAATATCTTTATCAAATACTATAAAACTAGACTAGTTGCTAAGGGCTATATAGAACTTGATGTTTAAAATTTTTTTTCTTCATAATGATCTTAACGATCTATGAACTGAACAAATCTCGGATTAAAACAAGCTTCTTAGTATTCAAAGTTTTAAACAACTAATAACATACTATTCACTTTTATCAGAGTATATGAAAATTCTTTTACCATCATATTAATTTATGTAGATGATATGAAATTACCCCATTGCCACAATAACTTTAAAAGAATTTTTCCATAAATATTTTTAAATTAAGGATCTTAAAAAATTAAAATATTTCTTGACGATAAAAATAGCATATGCTAAATAAGATATTTTTATTTCATAATAAAAAATATTGATGATATGATTTTCCTTAAAGCTACCCGATCAATTTTCCTAACAAAACCCGAAGCTCACTCCATTAAATGATGAACCTCTCAAATATTCATCACAATATAGAAGACTTATTAGACGACTTATTTATTTTATAATCATAAGACCCAATATAGCTCACAGAGTATATCTGTTAGGATCGAATCAGCACTAAAAGGGGAATGAATTAGTACTTACGAAAAATTACGTCAATTCAAAAATATCATTCGATAAAGCTCAAATTAGAAAGATGAGTTTAACTTGAAAGCGCATTCGTAAGCATAGTAAAAGTAGTAAGCAAGTAAATTAATTTGTAATATGAGAATAAAAAGCAGAATAGATGCAAATTGAGTACACCAGATTTATAGTGGTTCGACCGTTGTGACCTACGTCCACTCCCGATTCCTCTTCACTCGAGGCCACTAGCTTCCACTACCGATCTTTCCAATAGGTGAAGATCAACTATCCTTATACTATTTTTCATTTTCGCAGGTTTAGGAGAGAACCTTTACACCCCTCTTTTACAAGTGTTCCTTCACACACCTCCCTTAAGACAATCACTAAGCTCTTAGAAGATGAACTCTATACTTAAAAGAGTTTACAACCTTGGAATCATAGAGTTTTTGCTCTATTTTCATGTGTGTTTTAAGCATAAATTTGTGGGGTATTTATAGACCCCAAATGACTTCAAAACTTAGAGCCAAAATTTAAATCCT